GTCTTGTGCCTTGGGTGTTGACCACCAAAAAGAGCCATGGAGCATTCCTGAAAAGCAAAACCCAGTTGTATACCATGATTAGATACATATAGGACACTGTCAAGGCCCCACACCTTACATAATGAGCATTACCAAAAACCAGGAACTCAGCCAACTTCATAAATATTTTGCACACCATTGAAGAATAGTGGGGTGGAAAGCTTACCAGTTTAGATACAGGCGCAAGGCTGGCAAACCGAAAACACAGATAAAAAGCATGTGTTTTCAATACACTTAAACAACTGATTTTGGCGGTTTTCAACAATGCCAGCCTGTTTCTTATTGCAACTGTGTTTATTTTTTACTAATAAAATGCACAATTAGCCGAAAAATGCCATAAGCAACCTTGTACTGTGGCGCCTAACCAGATAAACGAATGTCAACATCAGAGGTGTCCTAATGCAAGCTTCCTTTAACAAAATTTTGGACCACCTAAAACTGTGCTCTCAAACACATTTGAGTGTAGAGGCCAGATAGCCCACCCCCAAAAGATCGAGGGCTTCTGTAAGGCATGGGGGTCAAGAAATTTGTTAAAGGGACCTTGCGCTCTCCACATTTTGTAACTTGCAATCTTGACAGTGACATTTTTAGCCGTGATTCATTTGTAGTGCTCCCCTTATCCCTTTCCTGATGCAATCACAAGAATTAAAGTGGTACTGCCACCAACATACTGGCATTTTGTAAGAGGACAAGAGAACAAGTACACTGTTGTTGCCGTTGCTTATTTCACTCAGGATATATTCAAGCTCAACATGTCTCGAAAGAATGCCTTTTGCTTTCCTGAGAATTTCTGGTAGCACCAGTCTGAGCGAATACTTGTATTTTACTGGAGATATTTTCTGAGGGCGAGAATCCAGAGCTCATGAATTTATCTTTGGTGGTTGCTTCGGACAAGCGATAGTTCATGCAGTTGAAGTGCATCCTTGGGCAAAGAGCTCGTGGTTGCAGCCTACCAGCGGAATTGTCGTGCAGGTGCTAAATACTAAAAAAAAGACGGGAAGGAAAAATAGAGACTAAACACCTGAAAAATAAAAACGAAACTACATTAACTATGTGGATATGTTATAAGAGCATAGCTACGTTTTCAGCGTAAATGAATAGACCGATCCCACTAAGTTTTCCACGCATGCGTGACGCCGCCATAACTGCAGTTCGTAAGAGGCAGACTCCAGTTCATGCGACAGGTCATGCTGCCTCGTGGTCTGCTCGCGCAAACCTCCAGCATGGTTGTCGCGCGTGTAGAAAGACTACAGCTCCCACGATGCATATCGGCAGCGGTGGCGTACTCAAACTAGCTGGTGAGATCGGTATATTAGCGACATATTATAATGCATGCGATTTGTAATGCTCGTTATGAGAACGGGAGGTTGCAGCTGGTTTCCTGTGGGCCGTGTTCAAGCAAGTCGCGAGCTGCGTCTTCAAGCACTGAGCAGATTAATTTTACCCAGTTATCTATTACCTGCCAGTGCATCATAATCTGTACAATGGTGAATATATTCCGAGTCACTACTTGCGCGCCGCACAGGCTAAGGCAATGCCCCAAGAGGGGAAAGGGCAAGCGCTAGAAAGGCGGGTGAGGAGAGTAACCTCCTCTTCTATCTAACATTCGTAGTGCTTTCCCCCTCGCCCCCAGCCCTGCCCTCCCCTCCCATATGCCTTCCTAGTGCTCGCCTTTTCTCTCTTCGCATGGCCGTTGCATTCACCTGGATTACACACAACTAGTGACACGGAGTATAATTGAAGGACGGTACACTCACAGATGTCAAAGCACTTGAAGAGTTCGCAACTTCGGTGCAATGCCACTGGTTGCACTTTTGTATCGCACTTCAGATGGGTTGATTTGCCCGAAGTACCTGGAAAATAATAAGAATGATAGAATAAATTAATGTGCCATAAACCAGGGCTGGGCAGACACACTCCAAAAAGTATTCGGGAATACTGAGATACATCTGCTTTAAGGCCAAAAATACAGATACTGAGATACATTGTCTTTTATGCAATGCTATATCCCCGAGACACTTCCGCGAAACTGGTGAAAAAGTATTCAGGAATACAGATACAATGTGTAGTTGTATCTGTATTGTGGAGGGTGTAGTTCGTGGGGAATATGTACGGTCAGTGGCGTTCCAACTTGTTTTCCAGTCAGGAAGGGGGGGGGGAGTGCTCTTAGTATCCCTTGGGCGCCGCCGGCCAGTCTTTAACCTGCCCTGTGGCGGCTGTTTTAGGAGGGTGGCAGGGGGGGGGGGGGGGGGGGGGGGCAACACAGGACAGGAGGAGGCGAAAGCGGGGGTATGCACACCGAGGCGCTTGCACCGTCGGCGAAGCCGCCGTACCGGTGGCTTTTTTGCACGGCATTTGGAGTCTGCTCCTCACGTGATCGGATATCGGCAAATAGCGGCGCGGCGGCACGTGGAAACCAGACGCGCAACTCTGGCTGGAGCCTATAATCTCAATGCTGCACTAGAGTACCAGTTCCTGTATAGGCTCCCTGCGGGAGCCAGAGTTGCGCGTCTATTTTCTACGTGCCGCCGCGCCGCTATTTGACGAGATCCGACCACGTACCGTGCAAGTAACGTTGCACGCGCCCCGCCGTACGCACCCCTGCTTTTGAGCGCGCCGCGCGCCTCGTCGGTTCGAGAGTCAATGGTTCCAGTACCCTCTCCCTCTTCGAAGTCGCCGAGCACTGCGAGCAGGGAGGGAATATGGTTTTGTTGTGTTGACCTCGGGGGCGGAAGATTACGCACGATGGGGACAAAGGCGAGGTTGGGGACTCAGTATCTAGGTCACAGCGCCTCAATGGTTGAACAGGATGTAGCTGACGTTTTGGGTGTAGAACGGGTGGGAGAAGCCTTGCGCGCGCGTTGTTTTCTCGACACTTAAGCGCGATCCAAACCAACGCTTCTTTTTGCGCCTGTAGGTCGTGCGGCTGCGGATGTGACGCATTTTCGTGACGTCGCGCCGCTTCTTCGCTCCTTCCGGGCGCGCACGAAGAAGTTGGTTGATTTCAACTTCTTTCTCAAGCCGCACAAAAAAGCGCGGTGACGTAGCAGGCCGCGCCTGTGTCCCGGCCAATCGGTGGAGGGCAAGCTAGTTCCGGCTCCGCGTTTCTCGCCGTCTGGCTGCCCTCTCCTCCCCCCCTCCCCCTTTTATTCTCTTCCAACATGACAACGCGATCTCTCTCCCTCTCTCTTTCTCTCGCCGGCCAGCCTGTCGCTGTTGCACTTTGCTTGTGCGCTCGTGCCTGCGTGCGCGCGTGCGCCCCCGCCCGTAGCTGGCCCGTCCAAACCAAAGCGCACGCTTCTGACTCAGAAAGCGCGCCCGGAAACAGCAAAAACGACGCGGAATGCGTCACATCCGCAGCCGCACGACCTACAGGCGCAAAAAGAAGCGTTGGTTTGGATCGCGCTTTAGCCTCGTGTCGAGGTGGCAGCACATATTCGCCAAGAGGTCCAAAAGTCGCGTGAGGAGCTGGATCAAAATGCCGTGCAGGAAAGACGGCGCTAAGAAGGTGAACGCGCAACTCTGACTCCCGTAGGGAACCTATAAAAGAACTCTAACTGCCCTGTCTTGAAGCGCCACCTTAGTTCCATCATCCCCACTGAAAATCGCATTGCATAACCATACGTGCGAGCGAAGCCGGTAACAACAAGCGCGAGCATGTTGCTCTGCAATCGAACGTTTCACCGACAGATCGTTTTATAGATACGCGTTGATTCATCGCCAGAATGCTTCATCGACAGCACAAACTACCTTTTTTCTGTAAGGAGCTGCCTCACACTGTTGCCACGAAGCGGATAGTACGTGTAGGATACACCTGCGACGAAATGTCCCTACAACGCTAAATCCGCGTAACGACTGTCGATGGAACGGTAGTGTCGACGAACGAGGGTCCATGAAACATCTGTCCACAAAAAGTGTTTTTTGGCGAAACGATAGAGACCCGTTGCTCTGAATGACGCCAGCTCTACACGCAAGAATAATGTCTCGAAGCTGCGATGTCGTGCTCGTTTGTACACTCAGAGAACCGGGCACCGCCACCGCGCACACATGCCACAAATACAAAAGCGAAGAAACTCTGACATAAACAGGAGAAAAAGGAAAGCACGTCCCCAACTAGCAGGCCCCATGCCTCGCAATACGCAGCATCCAACGAGTGCATGTAAACGGCAGACTTACCTTTAACGGGCGGGCACATCTTGGTTTGTGACTGCAGTGTAGCTACGTGCCAAGCATCGCTTCGTGAACACGATCCGCTTTGTCCAACCACCTTCTAAAAAAACACGCAATTCAAAATAGCGCGAATGAACAAAGGCGATGTCACCCGCCAGCCGAAGCAAAAGTATGGCCGCCGAAGCACGCCGAGATGGAATGCAGGAGGTGAGGAGGTCAAGTCTCCTAGCAACACGAAGGCCAGATCACGCGCGAAACGCGATCGCTATCGTGATAGGTTGTCAGTCGGATGACGTGTAACCAGTGACTGCTAATCAGGACGCGCGCTCTACTCTATTACCGCGCGCATTTTGTTTGTTTTCTTGCGCTCTCCTGATAGCACTCCCTCTCCCCTTTTTGAAAAAGGAAAGGAGAGGGGAGGGGTGTAATGGTGCACCTGGCAACACCCTCGCCTCGCCCGCCGATTCCTTCGGGAGAGGAGGATTCGTGTGACGGGAGTGCGATTACGCTCGCCGGGTGTCTCCAGTCGAAGGGGGGTGTAAGGGTGCGCGATACACCCACGTACACCCTTTTTTTCTGAGAGTGTAAGCAAGAGAGAATAACTTTATTATTTTTAGTTGGTCAAATTTCACCCAGTAGATTATTTCGGTCGAACTACACTTAGCTGTGCGGTAAAACGGCATGCTTCGGTTTTGTTGCTTTGGCTTGATCGCCACAGAAAGGTGTCCTTGAGCATAGTAACGTTCGCGGTAAGAAAGCCATAATATATATGACGTCTTCAATCGCTGCAGGTGAAGGTTGTGGACGCCGAAGGCAAGATTGTTCCAGTGAACACGAGGGGAGAGCTGTGCACGCGAGGCCCCCACGTCTTCAAGGGCTACCTCAACGATGATGCCAAGACGAAGGAAGCCAAACGAGACGGCTGGTACCACACTGGGTAAGGAAAACAGCTACGTCGGTGCTGTGCCCAAAGCTATGATGAAGCCTTCCAAATGCGATAAAGAAAAATATGTATATTTCGTATGCTTTGGCTACCAGGCATGGTAAAAAGAAGACGCATATCGAGAAAGACATGGAGATGCACTGAGCAGAGAACATATCTTCCTCTTTGAAAAAAAAAACAACTAATCTCTGCAGTGACTGGTGGGAACTCTTAAACGTTTAGCATTAGCAACAATTCTTATCTATAGGTAAAGATTTTACCGAATAAAAAAGAGAAGAAACCGTAATAAGCTTTTTCGAAAAGAAACTAGCATTACGTGACAGCTTTATCTGGAAAACTGACCACTCAATGAATATTTAATGTGAACTCTACGAAACGATACGCCGCTTGTTCCTTCTCGAAAAGTAGGTTTCGAATATTTCTCTTTGAAGTCTACCAGAATGACTTCGGTCATTCTTTGTTTAAAGTACAAAAAGGCATACTCCACTCGTTTGTTCAGAAAAAGTAGGTTACGTATAGTTGTATTTGTAATCTACCAAAATGGAGTAGCTAAATTGCCACTCAGACTTTACGTGATCCTGATTTGAAAGTCAAGTAGCAGGCGACCTGGTGAACAATCATAATTAAGAAATAAAAACTTGAGATAAGGAAACAACAAGGGTCATACACACCACCGCTTCAAAACCAGCGCAGCATACAACTGATATTTGCTTCCACAACGGTCTTATTATTTTTCAACCTCTATCCAAATTATACACATTCGAAAGCAGAGACACTCACTACACTAAGGGAACCTCGTCCACACAAACTAAGTCTTCATTCTTGTCGACGTTTTTTTGTTTTTTTTCTTGTTTTTTTTCTTTTGGTATTCCAAATAACAGTGTCGTACCGGCGCCACACACAAACCACCGAGAAGCCATGAGTATCGAACAAAGGTCTAAAAACAGTTTTAAAATGTCGATTGCTCACAGGAGAAAAGCATTGAGAAATTAATCGAGTGACAACCTATTTGGAATTAAACAGAAAAAAGAGCGCTTTAATGCGAAGAAGACTGTTCTGGAAGTAAATGACAGCTGTATGCTTTGCTGATTCTGAGAGGATGGTGTCTATTTCCCTTTTTGCTTCCTCGTCTCAAGGTTTTATTTCTTCGTTAAGATTTTACGTGAGTCGGTAAAGCTGCATTAGTGAAGTGAAGCTGCGTGAGCCGTTGCCTTGCGCCGTGATGTAGCTGCGCGCGAGGTGTAGAAGACGACGATGAGTAATGGGAGGTAGGGAGCTTTCGCAGGAGTCGGTATGCATGAAGCCACGCCTTGACGTAATCATCTTGTCAGTGGCTCTATATGTTGCGCATTATTATGTCATAAATCAACAGATATTAGACGCTGACTCTGCAGTGATATGTTGGCTAAGGAAAACGCAAAACCTTCACTATATGCCTCTTTTGCACTGCTATGCGTACATTCGAGGAAACTTTGTCATTGAGACATCACATTATTTCCGTTTGAGAAACAAAACATACAAACATGAAGTATCCGTGCATCTGTGGTGTCTTTTTACTACTTCGTGTTACCAGCGCCTCCTACATAAGCTACACTATATCTGTTGGTTTCGTTCCAAGAGAGGTCCAGGCCCAATGCTTCACCTCATAACATGTACAAACGACTATAGGTAGCGACGGGAAGCGGTCGTTCTAAATATTTTTTTTTGCAGCACACTTACCTTATTATTGAAAACATATCATATAAATGTCTTGTTTTTTTTTTTAAATGCGGAAGTTTTCTGGGCGTGGCCCACCTGATTCAAATGAGTTTCGATAACACAAATTACCGAAACACCGAAGCAAGCACGGACAGGCCGCGCTTTTGCGGCGCGAACGCGCAGAACGCTTGGCCGGTTGGCCGTCTGCTTCGGCGGCACTTTGGGGCTTTGGCGGTTAAGGCCGGTTCAAACCAGCCCCCAAAGCGCCTCCTGGGAAGAACAAAAAAGAAACTGGGTAAACGGGGTGACGTAGTCTGTTACATCAACGGTACCGTTTTAATGGTCCCGCACTTCTGGTTAAAAATTCAATATATTCATGTCAGTCGGTCGAGGCCCGAGAACGTCGGATTTTCGCAGTAGCCTATCAGGGAAAAACGGTCAACAATCCTCTCCCTCCTCGCAAAACTTGCGCTCGAGTTTGTCGGAAGGGGAGTGGGGGGAGGGGGGGGGGGGGAGTTGCGCATGTCGGCTCTCCAGAACTCTACGACAGGACAAAGAGCGCCTTAAGAAGCAGTTGCTTTTGCTGTATTTTCCTCCTCAAGGCCACTCAAAAATAACGCAAAAGACGGCTCCTAGCTCTCCCCGCACGCGGAGACTAATGTCTCCCGTCTACGGTACGCGGGATCTCAGCATGTTTCAGAAGATTTCGTAAACATTCAATCTCTTCAGCCTCTGATGTTCAATACAAAAAGGGTTTCCGTACTCTGCATTATGCCGGGCCACGTTTTGCGGCCTGCTGTTGACCGCCCTTTACCGTAAATCAGGCGCACAGATTTGGCTGGCGCCGACTTGTGATTGGCTGAATTATGTAAAAAATAATAAATGATATTCCTCTCGCTGAAAACCAGGAGTTGGTACCAAGTTTTACACTATTGGTCAAGGAAGTTTATGTAACTTGCATTTAGTGGCAATATGGCAGCATCATTGACTCTCCTACGGAAAAGATGGTTGGCTTCACGACAGTTGTGCTAAAGGCCTAGGTGGCTCCACCGCACGGCAGCCACACATCCTATTTCCCCTCTCCCTTCCTCTTGCCACATGCTCGCAGCCTACAGGCATTGTGTAACTACATAGGAGGCGCTGGTATTAACTATATTTTGATTAATTTCGGTCTTGTCAGTGTTTAAGAACAATTTTGCTCTATATGACTACTATCCTCCGCTAGTTTTCGGATTGCTTTTTCACTTCATTTCTCATGGATGAAATACAAAAAAAAATTTCATGAGTAAGTATTTTTTTTTTTAGTTTCAAATAACATCTCATTGATACCTTCTTGCTCAATAATATATATATATATATATACATATATATTTTTTTCACTTTCATTTTTTTTCTCAAAGTGTTGTACTTTAGTTATAACTTATAATGGACCTCCTTTTTCAGAGACATTCTTCCAGTCAAATTCCTGCTATGTTCTCTGTCTTACTGCGTAACGTGTGTGCATTAGTATATCGCATATCCGCTCTTTATTTAGGTAAAACCTTTTTGTAAGAAGAGCCATGGTCGTGTGGAAAGGACGGCAATATATCCTTCGAAATTTAACCGCGTCTGTTCAAACCGGGTATGACCCATTATATAACCCTAATATTAAAGCCTGCACAAAAATTAATAGGTGTTTACAAGTTAAATTCATATCATTTTCTGGACATAGACTTGTATCAAAACTGGCTTGCTCATATGCATACCGTTTCTGCATTCATTGAGGGTTTACTGTTTGCACGCAGTTCTCATGTTTAAAGGATGGCATGAAAGCTATCAATGTAACACCGTTTAAAGTGGTATTCTACCACCGAAAAAATAACAAAAAAAATGCAAAATACAAATATAAACGAGAGAGTATTAAACGTTGCCATATTGTTTTTAAATAAATATGTCAGTCAGGTGAGCATCGTACCGGTGTGCGGTCGTGTATCACTACTGCATGATGCACGTTAAAGACCCCAGGCTAGCGGTTGTACTGCACTGGCTAAATTGCTCATCTACAGCTAGGAGACTCGTCGCCCGTTGAGGCAGACCAAGTTCTAGGCTGTAGAAACATACACAACTCAATCTTTTAAACTAAGTTTATATTTAAATGTCTCTTAAGTCACAAGGCAAACTCTGCAAAAAGAGCCACACCTTTCTTATTATAATCTCGCATACTGCAAGATATCAAGACAATTGACCAGTGCCCCGAGTAGTCTTCAACATGCTGCGTCACCTGCAACAAGGACTCCTTTTTGCAAATCGTCTAAGCTTGAGATTTTTCGCTGAATTGGTTTTGAAGTTTTAAGCAGTTGTTACGCTTTCACACTTCGATCTTTAGAATTTTTATAGTAGTTGCGGACACGGTAAAAGGGTCTAAATATGTGCATACATTTTGATGCACCTGTTTGTATTTTTTGCTTGGCAACCTGCACCTGTCGAGGTAGCCGATCGGCCGATGCTGTCTTCACAAGGGACCCGATCACACCTGAGTAGTAGGAAACAACTTTGGTTTTTTTCGGTAGGCCGCCAGCCTGCTCGACTAGTTGGACGAAGGCTGGCACCCACTCGCTTATGTTATATTGGTATTGGCGTCTGTGTGTGCTTGCGGGAGTTGGGGGAGAGGAGGGGGGTGCCGCTTCATACAGGAGTGAAAGTGATTATGCTATCACCGCGCAAATACTACATTGTCCTCATACATGGCTAATTGGAATACTTTGAACACCACAATAATCGGGAATGTTTCGGTGGCGCGGACACTGCACAGCGGTTTCTTTCTCACCCCGGAGGGGAAGGGGAGGGCGTCTCCTTTACCGATAATACCGATGCTGCGGTAAGCTTTCTCTGCTCGCGGCACAAGGAGGAGGCCTTGCGTTGTTAACTTTGTCTTTGAACCGGGGGCTTAACAACTCGTCACCATTGGGCGGTTGTCCTGAGTCTCCCACCTCCCCGAAAGCTGCTTGCCCATGCCACGGAGTTGGCACGGTGTCCTCGTTCACCAATTCCAACGCTTACCCAGGGGCCTAGCTCCTGTTCCTGTGACTGTGATCGGACGATGGTTGCTCAGGGTGTACCACCCTCAGAGGAATGTGGTTTTGACGCCGCTTCCATTTTATGCTTCTGTGTGGTGTAGTCAACTTCAACACACAAGACATTGTCCCGACTGTAACGTCACCATCGCCTCCAACCATCTTGGCCCTTCTCCAGAGTTCCTCGTAAACACTTTCGTTCCGGTATTAGCGTCCAAACACTACAGCCGAGGTATTTACGCGCGCTCACGTTGCCGAGTGGGCATCGCACTGGTTTCACACTCAGGTGTCTCGGGTTCGATTCCCAGCACCACACGCCCGTTTGCTTTCTTTAAGGAAGCAGAAGTTTCGAGAAGGCTGGAGAACTGTCTTGCTTGTTCGTGTTCAGAATGTGTAGTTCGAGATGGATAGAGGAAGAATATTCTGGCTCCCAGGGTAGGTATAAAGATGCGACGCCCCGCCGTATAAGACAGACTTTCGCCTGAGCTCGGCCCTGCCGTTACGCTGCCATCTTCGCCTGTTATCTTCCACTCAATAGTATTTGAATTGGGCACAGGTTCGCCATAATAAACTTCGAAATTTCTTCGGTTTCTTCTTTTTTTTTTGCCTCTTGAGCTGCTATTTGTGATAATATTATAGTATTCCTCAAATACAACGACAAACGTTTCTGCGTTTTTTTTTTTGCCCTATAGGAATGCCTATGCTTTTGAATTTAATAAATGGAAAAATAACACCAAAAGCTTACCTTACGAAGTTTCTAATCGGCTTGTTGTCGTAGGCCCTAGTGGTAGATAACTCGTTCCACCCGTCCGGGCAATTAAAAAATAAAAACAGCAAATTAGCATATACAGATTTCGAATTAATTAGTGATCAATCATTCCTTTGTAGTATAATATACACTAAACGTACTAGTTTCAAGAGGAATGTGTTTATGTGTACAGAAATACTAATATATGAGCGTCAAAGTGAAACTTAAATATTTATTTACCTTGAATGGGAAAGCTGGGAAGCCGGAAGTTTACCCGGCAGTGCTTTGTTTTCGGAAGGTCTTGGAACATGTTTGCCGATTACAACTGTTGTTTCCTTGTTTATAACGTAGATAGCTTAGTTTTTTCTTACCCTATTTATTTCGAAATTCTCAATAGCGCATGCCATCAAGGACATTTCATTTGAGTTATCTGCAGAAAAAATGCAAAATAAAATTTCTTAATGTTGTGGCGGCATGCTTGTATGACAACCGAACTGCCGGTACCGCCAACCGTCGCACTGTTATAGGCCACCGTGTACGCGGTAGTGCTCACGTGTATAAAAACGCCGGTAGCGGTTTAAGGAATTTCGACTCTTGGCTATCTCATTTGCTGGTGGTAACAACATATGCTGCATGTATCACTCTACCGGCGAACAGTTAACCCGTCTCGGAGGCCGGTATCCGATACCTGGTGGCCCGATGTCTGGTTTCCGCAACCCTTGGATCCGGGTTCCGGTTTGCCAGTTTTCGGTACCCTTATAGCGGAAACCGGTAAAAATATGGGGGTCGCCACAACCACAATACCGGTGGCTACTATGAACCTGTGTACGTATGCCGGCATTTAGTAGTACAGAAGTTTTCAGTGGGTGACTTTTTTTCGTTCCTCAATAGAGCCATGGATTCGAATTGTCTTCCGAGCGCATAGCCTCAGAACCTGACAATGCCGGCAACTTGCAATTACTGGTATCTTGAAAGAAGACAGAACTCATGAAAAATCAGTGCTCGAGTGCGTGGATAGGACACGACTACTGTCTCAAATATAGCTGAGACTTCATGCTAGCCGGTCGACAGACTTTCAACGTTGGACACATGGCCCGTCCCATGGCTTCCTTCAGCACTCCATCCAGGAGAGGGCACCTCCTTTCAAGCTGTTACCTTATGCCGCAAAATAAATAACGGACTTAATAAAAAGAGCAGATGATATCCGATCTGAAAACGAAAAGCTCTACCGAAGGAAGCGTGTGCCTTCAAGCAAAATATAAAAAAGCGTCCCCTATCGTACGTCTACCATGGAACGGCGACTGTCTTGAAGTAACGATTTCCTGTTGTTTTTACACACACACACACACACACAGACACACACGCGCGCGCGCGCGCACGCACGCACGCACGCACGCACGCACGCACGCACTCATATATGTTCATTCATTCATTTGTTTATTTTATGTGCTCATGAACAGCTTGACGCCTTGGTAATGATGCACAACAAAATGTTGACAGGTTAGTTACAAAAGTCTTAAAAGCTACGAAATTTGGGTTAAAAACATCAATATCTGCTCCACTGAGGGGAGCCGATATTGATGCTTTAACCCATATATATATATATAGAGAGAGAGAGAGAGAGAAAGAGAGACAGAGAGAAACGCGCCTAAGCCAAATATGTCTGCCAATGAAAAATAATTGGTTAAAATTATTTTCCACGGTAGGTTTTCTTTGTGACGTAAAAGTCCTAACCCTTCACTCAAACCGGAATACTTTCGACAATTCAGTGCTCTTTTAAGCAAGAGAAAAATTAGACTAAAACGTTCTTCATGTATGTTACATAATGAATTGCTTTCCTTAATCCCAATCCCTTCAGTAAATATATTGACATTTAAAAAGTTTTAATTATAAAAAAAATTGGACTTCTGCCTGAAAAGTTTTTTCCATGTCTTATCAAACTATTCCAGAGACGAGGGGAAAATGAGCGAGGACGGTCGGATCACATTTGTGGGCCGCATGAAGGAGATGATCAACTACAGGGGATTGAAAGTGCCGCCACTGGAGGTCGAGAATGTCCTCAACATGCACCCCGACGTGAAGGAGGCGCAGGTGAGTTCATCTCAAGTACAACAGATTATGCGATACTCGTATCCGTAGACGTATTACCTGCAAGCAACGGGTTGCTGTTCAACAGTGGGTCTCTGCATGTTTTCAGTATATTAGGACCTGTAACATTTTAGCGTTGCAATAAGACCTCGTGAGAGATAACCATGTTTAATCGATTGTTAGATTACCAGTAAACGTGCGCGTAATTTAATGGATACACGTACAGGCTCAGGTAAGTTTGTCGGAGTCCCGTTCACGTATTGCACGTTTTTGCGATGATGTCGAGAAACTCCAGAAAGGCGGACTGCGTGACGGATGAGTGGCGGAATATTGTTCTGTATTGAATACTTCTTAAAATATTTCGATGATATGCGCATTGTTCTACGGATAGTTACAGTAAGCGCGTGAGACCGGCATATAAAGCGGTGCACCATTCTTCTTCCAAACTAACTTCTCCAGCTCAACCTATTATGTCTTCCTGGAAAATTCTCCTTACTTTTTTAACATGTAGAAATCTTGGTTATCTTCCGTATTCAACCCGACCAATCACCAACTTTCTCGGTTAATATGATCGATATCAATCGGTTCGAAGGCACAAAAAGGAATCAAGTCGACGCGAGTTGTTCTTTTCCGGCACCGGAAATACAACAGAGAGGACGAGACCGAAGACGAAGAGGAGCGAGAATGCCCGACAACGTCAGCAAGATCAGCGCCCACGTGATTTTGGACTGCCAGGGTCTCCATCCTCACAGGGGTAAAGCTCTAAGCAAGTTTCCACGCTCGACTAGACCCACCACGCCAAAAGAATAGATTTATCCCACGGGCACTCCAAAAGCATCGGAAGGCAATTTAACATTAAATGCTCAAGTTTGTAAGAAAAGCGCAGCACCAACACTCATTTAAAGCCATCTCATTTAACCCCCTTTTGAGCCTACGTTACCTTTTTCTTCTCTCCTTAGTACCGTAACGCGTCTTGAGTACGAGGCTGTACCGGAAATGTTAATAAAGTCGGGGTTACTATAAAAACAAAAGAACACGAAAGAGAACCAACGCAGAAATTTCGACAAATGTACGTATATCCCTCCGACTTGCCGCGTCTATGTGCTTTATCAACTCCGATTTCGAACTTTGCATTCTCACGTGCTGCATTATTGTGCCGAAAGGTAATGAAAAGAATCCGACATGTATCCAACTGCTTTCCTGTGTGAAATTGAGAAGCTACACGTGTATGCGCTTTGCTACTTCGCTAGGATCAGGGGATGATTCATGGCGATATTGCGCATAAACAAAAAAGGTTAAAAAACCGTACAAAAAGCCTACTACACGAGCATATTGCTTACGAAATATAAAATATGCTTTGGCGGATGCTTCTCGTAAAAATACTAAACTCGAACACTCTACACAAGTAAAGGTGGCACAACTAAGCACATACACCAACTGGCACTGCATTATTTTTATACCTCTTTACTGGACACAATGTAGTGTTTAATATGATCACGATATTACATAATAAAGTATATCCGGTAAATTAATTACTATTGTTCTGTTTGCCGGTAGAAAAATATAAACGAAGCAAAGCTATACTTGTCAGTCAGAACACGCAGAAGATGGGCCCCCCTGCGCCGGACCTCGCCAGCTTAAAGCATTAACTCTTCACAATCCTGTCGACGATTCCGCGTCCCGCAAAGATCAGATCCTTTGTGTCTCGCGTAATCAGGTGGTCTTCTGGAAGCGCACAGCGAACAGAACACTTGTGCAAACCCCTGACACAACACCTGCGTTGGCGATCGTCTCTCTGATGCCGACGCCTTATGGTGTAAACCAATCGATAAACCGCGGACACATGAGCAATGAAAACGGGCGCCGTGTGCCAGTTTCCATAGCAATTCGCGCGAACGCTGTGACGTGGCAGCATGCCATAAGTTCACGCTACAGCATTCGCGCAGGTTGCCATGGAAACTGCAGCGCTGTGCCCGTTTTCATTCACGTTGCACCTTTTAGAAGCTCGTTAGGCCTTGGACGACGGTTTCGCGCTGATTACGGTGCCGTGTGTGTGGATGGGATCGGAAGGACAACAAACGTCGCGGGTGTCACAGTAGCGGTGTTGTGAACAATTCATGCGCTACTGTCATCCACTAGCCTTCCTGCTGGCCTGTCTCCTACCGGATTGGCCATTGATGTTGGGCCTGCAGATGACAAAAAATACTCATGCATCGCCGCATCAATTTTCACCTGCTGTCCCTGTGGCGTCTCGGATCATCACGTGTAGGCATTCAAAACATGTACCATTACCAATATTCGCTCTAGCAGTTCATGGTAACCTGGTTGGTTTCTCTAAAACTCTCCTCCCGAAGACAACACAGTCGACAGCAATGTTTCGTGAATTATCTGAATATTGCTTAGGATAATTTACTTGCTGGTCACATCTCTTCAAGCAAGAAATCGCAATCGGTAGTTCTCGCCGAACACGAGACATTGCCAGGGTCCTGTTTTCCACTGAAAATTAACGTGGTATGCTCTCTGAGCACGAGCCATGAGTGCTTGCATGTCAGTTTTACAGTTTAATTTTTTTCTCAGCACTTGCGATTTGTAGATCGATGGCGCGTGGCGCTGGTGGCGTGCTTAATGCCATTGTTTCTGAGAAACTTTTATGTTTTATGCAAAACTAAAGAAGTATCGTTATACTTTACGAACGTCTATGGTTCTCTCATATCTATTGACCCATTTGTGGATCAAGCGGGTTATATTTTGTATATTTAAACACAGGGAGAAGTCTCTGGATGATAAATATTCTTCATGAAAATTTTCATCCCCGAGGACATGTCCTTGTGCGATTTTGATAAGTTCTATTTTTTCGGACCCGGATTTCGATACTGATAGGTAAAATAGGGGCCATTTTCCAAGCATTTTGGAAAACAATGTTGTACTTGGGGTTTTTGCCTGCTATATTTTAAATGCAGTAAGCAATGCCGGTACACCTTAAATAGCCACTCTTTCGTACTTTTTACTAGATACTGATAAAAAAACTTGTTTCGTGGTTTCATAAAGTGGCTAAAGTTGAATTAGAATTGGTTTTCATTTTCTTCATATTTTCGGCAGGTGATTGGAGTACCAGACGAAACGGTGGGGGAGAAGATTTGCGCGTGGATCAAGCTGCAACCAAATAAATCATTAATCCAAGAAGAGATCAAAGCCTTTTGTAAAGACAAGGTATGTGAGTAGCTGATGATGTATAGTGGCTACAATTCAACATAAGCAATTAAGACAAAACGAAATTAATCATTACAACAGCCAAGGCCTCAGAGAGGCTACCTTTGATAACCTTGGAATGAGCGTTTAGATATTACGACTTATTAACAGCATAAATACTAACAATATCTCAATCTGGCATGGTCATAACAGTTTTTCAGACATCACTTAACAAAGGGTTTAGTCATCGAACAGATGTTAGAGGGGACTTTAAAAGAATATTGGCATCCAACGTTACTAACCACATTGGTGCAAGAGTACTGCATTGGGATGCCGACATTTTCAGATAACCATAATACAGCTATAAACACGGTGTTTATTTTTAATTGAGGCAAAATATTTTTATAAATATGTTACTGCTACGCAAATGCTTTCCTTGTTCTCTGTTTATTAGGCTCGGCAAACATTACACAATATCTCTTAACTTGTTCTTAGCCTTGGTAGAAGCCTGGGTGCGACCATAAAGCTTTGCGACCATAAGGCTTTCGAAATAATGTTCTATGCGTGAGTTCACAAGTTCATATAGCATTATATAAAGCCACCGTCTCGAGAGCTTGATTTTACCGGCACTAAAAGCTTGTCAGATAGAGGATAAGTGGAAGGTTGACCGTCGCGATAAAATAATTATTATTATTCACTGATTCTATGAAATGAGTGTGTAAAATTCTTTTACGCCTTTTCAAAATACGGTTCTAAAAACAGCCAAAATATTTTGAATGAATCAATTTATAAAACATGCTAAATATTACTTATGGCTTATGGATATTCATCGAGTTATTTCCGAATGTTTTTGCCCGATTCAGGCACCGGGTTTATAAAGAGCGGTAGAAGCTCGGCACACTGTCATATGGCATAGACCAGGTTTTGAGGCGATTCTTTTCATCTCCCGGTGATTGAGAAGGGTCCTGCACTTTATAACTTATGAGCCACTATCAACATGGCACCATCCGTAACCTGGAAGGCGCAGCAAAGCAAATTAATTGTAAACCGTGTTCTAATAAAACGAGAAAGGCGCGAAATACAACGAGCATGTAAAAAAGTGGTCAGGTTATCATTTATTACTAGAGAATATAATAACATTTTCAGACCGCTATTTTTGTTATAATATTTTATTTTAGCCTTTTAGTACAAGGGGCTGCTCCAGCAAGCATACTAAGTATGCTGCGTTCGTTAAGATTAATTACCTTGACATTCTTTACCCGTCCTATCGCCACGAATCTCCCCGTTGAACACCAAAATGATACTAAGATATGACGACATGTCCCTTACGAGGACACCCCTCTTGACTGTTTTGTCGTTTCTTGGCACTGAACAACTGACGCAAGTGTTTCAGGGCAGCTCTGTTGAAGCATATCTGGGCAACAATCGTCACTTCTGAGAACCCCATCTTATTCCTCTTGCATCGGCTGACAAACGAAACTGGCTTGTGTGCGTACTCGTGCGCGGTCATTTGAATTTGTATACAAATAATCAAGTGTCCATGGTTTATGTGGCAAACCCTACCGTGAGAATTGTAGCGCTACTTTTTCATTTCGCTTATCAGTACTTGCTCCGCTCATATAGAGCTAGTTTACATTTTGGCGGAAGTACCCAAAATATCAGAAGCTTTACACAAAATGTCTACAAAATTATACGGAGTAGTAAATCAAAAGAAAACATTACGCCTTCAACTAAAGGATGGTGCGTGCTTTCCCCGTGGTCGTAATTCACAATACGCAACATTTCTAGAGCGATTGAACCTTAATTGGCCGGTACCCGAGAGACAGCTTTAGACCTGCATCATTCATACTTTCAGCGGCGAGGCAAGTTTAAGTTGCGGCACTAAAGTTGAAGCCAGTTCTGCCAAAAATCCATCATTGTACAAATCGTTAAGCCTGCACGACCCCCCGCTGCTGAGCGAATTCAAGTTGCAAGTTTAAAAACCGGTATTGGAAAAACATGCTGCAACTAAAAATCATTAAAATATCGAGGTAGGAAGTGGCACTTTTCAATAATGAAGTATACTCGCTGTTTCTTTAGTGCAGTGTATTGTCTACCGCAGTCCGCTTAGGCTACGAAGGCGAATGGAACTCACGTGACTGGAATCTTGATTCGCGCTTGTGCAGAGAGAACCATTTTGTATTCTAATGCATTCTGAACTCATAAAAATTGCCTCCATAACAATCTTTAAATTTTGTCATAAAGAAACGCGCTGTTTTCATTATAAACAGCTAAGCGCTGACCCTAGTAGCAGACATTTCTGGTATAATTTTATGTTTGAGGTAATGTTTCTAGAGCTAGTGTGCTATTTGCTCGACATTCATTGCTCCAATCAATGTCCTACTGAAAAATTTCAATTTCGCCTAACCCTACATTGTGCGAATTCTTTGGAACATCAGAGTCAAGGGGTGCAAAAGCTACCTCAAGTTTTCCGCCTCAACAGGCTTAAACATGACTAAACTTGGTAGCCGCTTGACGGCAGTAAAAATCTTCTCACAACCTCCGTGCGGCACACAAGAAGAAATACCAAGACAGAGAAAAAAATTAATTGAAGTCCTTTTTTGTGAAGTGTGCACGTAACAAAACCAAATGTCTTATTACAGCTGTCATGGTTCATGGTACCTGAACACGTGCTGTTCGTGAATTCCTTCCCGAGGACTCAGACTGGAAAAGTTCAGAAGCACAAGATGCGGGAGGAAAGCGTGCGGCTCTTCAAGCAGTGAATAAGACAAAAAACAAATAAAAACAATGAAGAATTATTTCTACAATACATCAATGCAACTTCAACGGATGTTTCAATCAGGTTTAAATGAAAGCTACAGGGACGAAATACGTCATCGACCACGATCACTCTTTTGTTAAACATGTGGGAACTGCAGGAAGTTACCAGAAAGTCTCCGAGCCAAAAAACCAAAAGCTGTAGGGACTTTCAGTGCTTCCTACTTTTTTTTTAGTAGTTCCCTTACAATTATCCTTGCAACCTCGACTCTATCCACGCATTTCATGGGATGTGTGGAATACAATACTAAGGCTCGGATCACCAACTCTGGCATATATTTTGTTTTATTTACTTTTAAACACTGCACGCAGGGACAAGTCCTTCAAGTAGTGGAGCAATTACAGGGGTGTGAGAAAGGATTCTACAAAACATTAACGAAATGGAACAAAAATAAAAAAAAATCGAAAAGTACAGTAATGAATGGAAAGATTATTCTACGATCATTAGTTGCAAAAAAGATGTACAAAATGATAATAAATGGACATCACCGGACAACGATTTGCAGATTTTTACCGTACTGGGTCAAGACACGTCAGAAGAGGTCGCGTCTGGTGTAGACATGAAAGCACCGAAATTGGCAAGTTAATTTGCAATGTTCTTTTCGAATTCTTGAAGAACGAGTAGAGCTAACCTGGGGTGACACTCTCGGTATGGTGCTGAACCATGCTGCAACGAACAAACTCACTTTCAGAGATCTAACTCACATTATAAAAAATGATGAACAACTGCTTTACTGAGCTCATCTTGCCTAAGGCGCGGTACTTTGGAAAAATTTTTGGTGATGGCGGTGCCAATTTTAATTCCTCTTGTTGCAGCAGTTTTTTCTTTAACTGGATGCAAGCTGCACTCGTGTTCAATGACCTTAGTGCGGCTAGGCGTCTAAGGTGTTTAGCGTTTCAGATAAACCATTTTAATCACGTTTGCGGTTAGGCCTCAATTACAAAGGTTCTGAAAGATGGAAACGTTCCGAACCTCACGAGGCTTTTAGTTGATGCAAACCCTATGTGTGACATTTCATATGAGAGTATTTGTCGGGCTCTTGTAACGACACTGCACATACTGGGCATAGCGTAAGCGATACGCTCAAAGCAGATGGTGCCCCGGTGTTTAGGTTATCAACAGCCATATGGCCTATATAACTCTCGGCAAAAGAAATACAACCCAAAGATCGAATGAAGAGAATAGTACTTAGAACACTTTAGTTTGGGAAGAGCAAGCCAAAATGGGATATTTTTCAGAAAGCTTTCGTTGCAGTTGTAGTGCAGAACAATTTTCACACAGGCTCCCACTAGCCTTCGTGTACCCTCTGTCTATAACATTTTAAGACCTTTTGCATTTCCTCAGCAGTAAATTTGGTCTCACGCGGCCCCATGCAAGGGACTGTACGGTTAAATGGCTACTATGGTTGAAACCGGCTATTGCACATTGGTGAATACGGTGGGGTTCAGTTAAGTATCTAATGCTGGAAGATGATCTCGAGGAGCACTCAGACAATCAAAGGCAGAGAGCCACGCAGTTCGCGTCTCAAACTGGGACTGTTCCCTAGGGTGTAAAGACCGTTTGCACCCTCATTAACCTTGAGCACTTCAGTATAGTCTGGGGATTTTTCCTGCACTTTAGGCACTGTGTTTTGCTTGGCAGAGCAAGCCACTTTCCAAATTACTGACCTGAGGTTTGTGGAAAAACTGTTTAGTGAGGCGGGACATTGCAGAACTCGACATCAGGCATTTCAGCATCAAGCCACCACAAAGATGTGAGGATTGCACCGAGGTCTATAAAAATCTAAAAGTTCAAAACGCTATACAAATTAGAGAACCTGGTGCTCTACTCATTGATCCTGTACTAAGTGAATTGCAACCAGGTAGATACCTCTTCAAATGGGCCCTTTTGGCTGAGACTTTACGTCTTTTGTTTAGCAATGTATTTCTTGGCGATGTTTACCCTTGTGATTCTCATGTTCAAATTCCTGATAAAGACTCGACACCTTTATGCGAGCAATGTATGAGATTTAACGTAAGCCAGATGAAACACAGTTCGCCTTATGGCACTTTGCCTGTGTTTTTGTTTTATATTTGAGGCAGCTAACGGTAATAAGAACTGTTACATTGAGGGAGCAAAAGGGATCCCCCATCAAATTTGTCGCACTCTGGCATTAGAGGAATGAAGGTCTGAGCTTGAAGAGCTGATCCCAAACACTGCAATTTCCAGGAAATGCTCATCACTTCTCTCACACACAACATATAAATCTGTCTCTAGACGGAAGCCTGCTGCGTAAGGGGTTTTTCTACAAGAGGTTAAGTGGGGCTCTACTGAACACCATGGACGTGTCACCTCGAGCCGCCAAGTATTAGCGTACGCGTTATGGGGTTACGGTTTAGACGACTGCCTCGTACGTTGGGAACAAGAGTAGCAACAGCTCTGTACTCGGACTTCGTAACGGTGCGGTTGGTGTAACTATAAAGATAAATCTGGCTGGCAGGGCAAGCGTTCTTGTTTTCAAACCTCTAGAGTGCATGCAAACTCATTCTAGGTCATGGGATTCTTGTTATAGTTTGCGGGGGACACCAAAGTTGTTTAATTTTACTGACTTCAAAATTCGTCGGTCCAATTTTTTAGAAGTATTTCAGAGACTCTAGTCGCAATATTCAAGTGCCCAGTGTGCTTGCGTTTCTGTCGTGCCACTCATTGTTTTTTTTTTATCACCGTTACATTTAGCTTACGTATTCGGTCAAGCATTCGCCTTGTATTGATCAAACTGATAAATTCAAAGAGGCAGAAAATTTGTTGGAAATGAGCTGGACACCAGCTTTATTTCGTTACGCAAGCATCGTATGAAACAAGCAAAGAATTAATTTTGGGGTTTACGTGTCAAATCTACTCAGCCTATCTAGGACGTCCCAACGAAGGACTGAGGATTAGTCGAGACCATCTGGGACCCTTCTGACGGTTACTGAATTATTCCGTACACTGTGTCCTTATCGTAACACTCCATTCGCCGGATCTTGAACGTGTTAGCCGGGATTCGAATCCGTAATCTGGTGGTCCGGACGCCAGCACTCCACCCCGACGCCACAGACAAGGCTTATGCTAAAAAGTATAACCACCTGTCGATCACCTGATCAACAGGTGGCCTGCGTGTAATACAGGGATCGGCGTGTCCGTAGAGCATACAGTATTTTATATGAATATAGCACAATTTCTTCTGAATAACGTCCGGAGGACGATGGTTGTAGCGGCCGCGGTCAACGCGGCCGCTACAACCATCTACAACCCAACGAAGGACTGAGGATTAGTCGAGACCATCTGGGACCCTTCTGACGGTTACTGAATTATTCCGTACTCTGTGTCCTTATCGTAACACTCCATTCGCCGGATCTTGAACGTGTTAGCCGGGATTCGAATCCGTAATCTGGTGGTCCGGACGCCAGCACTCCACCCCGACGCCACAGACAAGGCTTATGCTAAAAAGTATAACCACCTGTCGATCACCTGATCAACAGGTGGCCTGCGTGTAATACAGGGATCAGCGTGTCCGTAGAGCGTACAGTATTTTATATGAATATAGCACAATTTCTTCTGAATAACGTCCGGAGGACGATGGTTGTAGCGGCCGCGGTCAACGCGTTGCAGGTTTTGAATCGCGGTCCGGCCAGCTGGCGCAGTTCTTCTGCACGTTGAGCAACCACTCAGGCGTCGTAGCTCCAATCGCCCGCTGGCTCGTAGGGCAGCATCCTTAGGTTCGTTTAGGTTAGTTTGGAGTCTTTTCGCCACAGCAGTATTGGGACTATACTGCCCTAGAACAATTGTGTAAAGGACGACTACATTCTTTCTAGGCTGACTAAAACATCGAAGTGAACCCTACAATTAACTAGACATCTTACGCAGTGTTGATAATTTTCGCAGAATTGTATTTCCCTTAAAAAATCAGAACTTCTGAGATTGCGACGAGAGGCTTTTGACCCAATAAAGAGGAAAGTGAAATGGTAAATGTTCCCGATAAAATATAGAACCACGCGTTAGCCGGTGTTCTTCATAATGTGGAACAACTATCAAAATGTAAAGGATACGTAATGGCTCATAACAAACGTCACAGGTCGGTCCACTTTCCCTACGCGGAAGTAGCTACGAGTAAAGTTTGTATGTCCAATTCTCAACCGACATTTAGGTACTCCGTAAAAACGCTTCCTGCGTTCGCACTGAGCAGCACAATTAGGATGAAGTCAACTTTCCCAGGAGGCAGAGGGGCCCGGTCATTTAGGATGGTGACGACCGGTGATGGTATTCGCCCGATGGAAGTGCCCCAGAAAGTCGAATAAGAAAAAAGAACTAAAATTTGTTCTATCCTGCTGGACACATAATGACGTTGGTTGGTTTAGGACGGCCAGTGTGGCCCCGTTTATTTCAAAACAAAACGACAACAAGTCAACAGTAATTTACAAAACTTCCAAAATTAAAACCCATACTTTAGTCTCCCAGTCTCAAGAGCCGATTCTGCCTAATCTCAAAAGCCGAATCCCCAAGAATCCTTTTGAGAGCCCTTTTATAGACTCGTAGGTTCCTCCTTTCCCTCCAGAGACTGGCCAATCACTTCAAATTTGCCCATCGTCACGTGGTACACTCTTACCCAATGACCAGCCAGCTGTCAATGTGACCCCTTTCCGACACCTCAACGGTCAAACCCAAATTCTCTGTAGAGTAACAACATGCTTTCTCAGCCGTCTGGCTGGCGCCACCAAGATAAGTTATTGCATCCACTAAATGCAAAGTTTTTATTTATTTATTTATTTATTTATTTATTGATAGTGTTAGCCCCATCACAGGGCCATTACAGTGGAAGGTACAAACGATAAAAAGCAAAAAGATACAAGATGTAAATACACACAGTTCTCGCATTTCGCTTGGTTTCATAAAAATACTGACACTTCATAGATAACTTCCCGTGCTGGCACATAATCAAGACGATACACACGATACTCATTCAGTTACTCGCA